GTGTGTGTGTGTGTGTGCATTCATAAAAATTTAGTGTGCAGTTCTTAGTTTTTCTTTATGCAAAACACACAAAAGTGAATAATTGAAGCCATTACACACACATTTTTCCTCCTAAGTTCTGTAAATAGATATTCCAATAAAGACACTACCAACATCTTACTTTCTGTCTTAAATATAACTGAGAGTATTTATATATTAAACTTTTTAAATAAGAAATGATTGGATTTCAATTTGCCTTAAAGATTCATAATGTAATATTCTTCACCCTAAATAACTCAGATTATTGCTAATTTTTTCTTTAATTTACCTTCATAAATACAGCCTTTGATTAATATAATTTAGTGGAGTTGATCAATCTGAGATATTTTTACCTTCCCCCATTACAGCATGCCATGGAATGAAAATTTACTTTGCTGCTCAAATGTATCAAACACAGTTTCTGTGGTCAAGTTCCTCTCCTTTCGTAAATGTGCTTAGAGGATCTCATAAGACGTAACTCCTCTGACAAGAGAACCTTTTTAGCACCAACACTACAATAGCTTCTGTGTTCCTAAGGGAAAGATCCTCTCCTGAGTTAAATTTAACCTCTTTAGTACGCGCATTTAGCCACCTGATAAATCCACTTGAGCTATCTTTTGGGGAGAGAGAGGTACCTGGGAACAATAACACTTCCTTTTTGAACAGTTTAATAAAGCTTTGTGAGATTCCGAGATGAAAGATAATGTGTAATGCTAATAGTGCCCTCCACAGCTCTGCATTCATGGATCCAATTACGTTTTTTGTCACGGTAAAAGCCACAGTGGATATATTAAATGAGAGTGTGGCTTAAGAATGAAGGCCCAGGAGTCTGGAGATCTGGTTTCTAAGGCTGACTTAACTTCTGCTTTCTTATCTCTCTATGAGTATGCAGCTTAACATGGTTACCTCAGTGTCTCCTTCCATAAAGTGCCCAGCAAATATCTGAGAAATTCTTTTAAAATGACAGTGCAAAGTGCCATTTAGAATCACCTTGGAATGTCTAGAAAAAAATGAGCTGAGTGTTCAAAGAGGGAAATACAATCTTCTGCTTAATTTCAGAGTGATCATAAAGTTTGTCTTTTACTTTTTAAAAGTCATGAGATTTCCAGAAGAGGAATGACATTTTCAAAGCCTTAAGGACACTTGTGAAAACACTCCTTCAACTATTCTTTATTTCTCACCAAAATTTTGACTCTGGCTTTTCTCCAACTTCCTCTCTTCCCCAATTCTCAATTCCAACTTGAAAAGAGTAATTGCAATTTTAACTTTTTCCATCCTGGAGTATTTTCTTGCAGCTGATTTGTTTCATATAATTGTAAAGTTATGCATGTCAGATTTTGTTTTAGATACACATGATTGCTGGCTTTAGTCAGTCAACCCCCAAACCCTTAAACTGATTAATTTCACTGTGAAATAATTGATTATGAATTTGTAGCAGTATCTGATTTTATTTTAAAATTCAAGTTGATAGAGCATTGTCATTTATTGATTAATCTGTTGCCCTTTGCCTTGAGATAATCTTGAAGAAGCAGAATACTGCCGTTAGTAAGATGACATCTATGTATTACAAATGACCATGTTCTTAAAATACACACACGCGCGCGCGCGCGCACACACACACACACACACACACGGAGACATACTTTCTAGTAATAAGCAGTGTTTTGAATAAAATCTTTTGAAAGATGTTTAGCAAATTGAAACAATTTCTGTCTTCCTATGTGATGCCTGCAATTATATGGTTTAGATATTTATTGAAGGACTTGGGAAACATCATAGGCCCATTGGCATTATTCTCAATATATCAAAGATTCATTCAGTATAAATAAATAATTTCATTATTTATAATAATAAAAGTTGTCATGGAAAATTTTATAACCTGATAAATAGGATGTCATAGAAATACTCAACATGGAAAAATAAAATATATACATAGTTTAAATTAGACCATCTGTTACAGAGTTGTACAGTCTAACTCTCTGGCCAGGTAAGCGTCTAGCATGAAACTTCACACAATCATACCTACAATGTATTCTTGCCTAATTCCTTGTTCCAAAGGAAAGTTTGATAGGGAAGTTGAATAATTTCACTTCCTTTTAGAGATGGTAGAACTTATTTAAGTAGCTTTCCTGTAGTACAAAGATTAGGCAGCTTTGATTGGAACTCTAGATTGAAAATGAATAGAAATAACTTCTTACAGACCACATCTAAATTTAACTTTGCTTCACACCAATAAACTATAGCCTCTACTACTTTATAGACAGATTATAGCTCATCAGTATGACTAAAAATCACTGTGGAATTACTCTGTAATAGTTCTGTTGCTATGCCTATAAATATAATTTCAGTGAGTGACTTTTCCATTTTCTAGCTGCCTGGCTATACTTTTTTTGCATGGCAAACTAAAGGACTTTAAGAATATGGTAAATGACAAATTTAAATAGCGTCAGATAAAACATGAAAGTCGACATTAAATTATCTGGTTAAAAATTATTTTCAGAACAATTTTAAAAATAACATTTTTCTATTGATTTTAACTTAATGTTTATACTATTCTAAAAAAGTTTTAAAAATGCAATTTTGCTTACACTCGTAAAGCCTAACATAAAGAAAATAACAGCATTATTTAGGGGAAAAAGTCCCGTTACCCAAGTGAATAGATAATTAAATAATTATCATAAGAGACAAAAGACAGATAGATAGCATCAGATATTGTAGCTTGGTACAGCTTCACTACTAGGTCTAACAGTTGAAAATAATCCAGGAAATGGTTTTAAGTGTTTTATATTTAAAACACCTACACACACACACACACACACACACACACACGTAGGCAGTGTGAAATTTACATTGTTCCTTTCCCATGTTATTGTTGTATATGGGCAAGCTTATTTTTCACATATTTCCTTCTCAATAGTCTCGTAGTTCTAAAGAGGCACACAGCATTATCACCAAAGATGCTTGACAAAGATGGGTATTCTGAGGGTGATCCAGATTTACTGATGATGGGAGGCCTGGAAATCTGAAAATTCAACAAACTTTCCTAGTAATTTTTATGTAAAACAAAATTCAAGAAAAACTACTGCATGAGAAAATATGAAGAAGTCAGTGGATACTTTTTCAAAAACAGAAAGTTTTAAAATGGTTGCTGTGTAATAGACAAATGATTTCTGAGCTAGAGAAAAGTTCAACATGAAATATAATCTAATATTAAAAAGCCCAGAGAAGTTGCTTTCTTAAGTT